AAAAAAAGGCAGCACCTAAATTTTGATATACTACTTAAACCTGTCCTAATGCCGTCCACCAAAAATCGACACTAACTTTCCAATACGGCCCAATATATTTTACATTAGTATGAAAGAAATACTTACGTTGGGTCATCGTATCCGACTACACCGAGAATGAGCTTATCCGCTGACGCCCCTTCCGATAACCAATAATGGACAGCCGCATGCTAAAATATAAATATAAATAAAAATTTTGATCACTTCTATACGTTACAAATAAAATTATATTTTTGTACGGTCATGAATTATATTGCAAGAAAAGTGTTGTATAGTTTAATTCGTAATTTTCACGAAACCAATAGCGAAGACTTACAACGTTGAGATTGGCTTGGTCTCCATGTTCGTTCGAGGAAGCATAGAGCGGGGCGTTGATTCCCGTGACCGAATTCCACGATCCATTCAAGTCGTACGTCATCAGATTAATAAAATCAACATTTTCTGACACGTCGCGAATATAGTAGGACTTAGAGGCCGAAGATTTCGCAGCACCTACGGCCACGCTGAGGATATAGCCGTGTTGACTAAAGGCCTGCTTCAGTTCCTTTAACAAGAGGATAAAATTCCACTTGTCGGATGGATTTCCGCCTCGTTGGTTGGGATACTCCCAGTCGACGTCGAAACCGTCGAAATTGTACGTCCTCAGGAAGTTAACGACGTTTTGGGCAAATCGAGCACGGAGTTGTGGGTTTGCCGCGACTTGAGAGTACTTGGCGGATCCCTCGTTCCATCCGCCTATCGCTATCATAGCTTTCGTGCCTGGGCTAGATTGGCGGAGCCTGGTAAACTTTCCGAAACCGTCTCTACCGCTTGGCAGATCCAGCCAGCTGTCCAGTACTTGTACGTCGCCATTGGTGGTGATACCGACGAAAGTATAAATCATATGTGTACACAAAGCTGGATTTATGTGGGACGGTTCGAATGCGCCGAGTCCAGGACGATACGCGGCCCAGCTACCATAGTAGCAAACGATTTTTTCTAAACGATAAATATATTATATTACAA